TTCTTCCCCACCAGATTTGGCGCGAGTTTTCCGGGCAGAAAAAACACCCAGGTGTCGAGGTTTTTGAACTCTCGAAAAGATGCCAGATGTTGGCAGTTGTTAACAAGGTTTTAGTGCTGTTTTTCCGTCGATCTTCAAAGCTTTGTGCATGTTTTTCCCGGCACCGGGTGTTCGGAGTTTTAGTATGCTGCCGAATTTTTCGGCAGTAAAATAATATCTAGGGGAACTAACTTCCGACGATCTTGACAGCGCGTCGTCTCGTTTTTCGGGAGACAAATTGGTTTTCAGCGGAAAACTGAGAACAAGAAGATTTTTATGGTGCGTTTGCCAGCAGCTGGCTTGTAAATTTGTGTGCATCTTTTAGGGTCAAATGACCCTGGTTTCAAAACTGCAGAGAAAGGAGGGGAATTAGTCTCTTCCTGCGGAAAAAAGGGCGCCGACTTCGGCAAATGTTTTTGTCCCAGTTTGGGGGGGGTTTCTCTTTCTGCTCATGGTGACTTTCTCCTGTTACCATTCTTGATGTCCCATTTTTGAGCATCCCAGTTCTGGGATTTTTTCTTTCCCGATTGTTTTCGCGCATCCAAGATGCGCGGATTAAATTACTCGTCGGCGTTTCTTTTAGGTTCTGGTTCTCAAAACAAGGGGGGTCAGAAAAATTCCGCACACTGCCTTTCTTTTTATACCCCATTAAACTGCCAATTTTTTTTATTTCCTGAACAAGGATTTCCTCCTACTTTTTCTTCAAATTCTTTCACTCTCTACATTTTCTTGAAAAAAAGCAGCATTTTTCCTTCTTCCAAACATACTCTTCAGAGCTTAATTTTTTCTCCATAAATCCAGGAATGTTATGGTCTGCAAGCACTCTTCAGAAACTCTTCTGACTCTCCAAATGATGTGCAGCTTTTTCTTTAATATCAAATTATATTCAGATTGGCTGCAAAACATAATTATCTTCTTGTTTTCAACAAGAGATTCCTTCAAAATTTAGAATACTCCTGAAAGTTAACCAGGGAGTGTATTTTTGAAATTTTCAGACATTTGTGGCTTGTTTGACAAATTCATGGATTCTTCATAATATTTTAAAAATTTGTATAGATATTCTTTTACTGAAATTGAACCCTGCTAATGTTTAAAAGGTATCACCATGAAGTTGTCAACATGCTGCAAACAAAGGAATTTACATTGGTGTGCTGGGGTGATTTTTTGAAATATTTTTGGTTTATAAAAATAAATAACCCATTCTATTGGACAAAAATTGAATGAATAATTTATATTTCAATCTTCATATGCATACCAATTGGCAAGTCATTTAAAGTCATTATTGTTTGATGATCATCCGGTAGGGAGACTGCTGGAAGTTGCAATTACATACTGTACTTTAATTGTCATTTTCAGAAGTATACAGGATAGGAAGCAAGGAATTTGAAGCAGCCCCTCTCTTTGGCTTTTTTCCTTTTACAAAAAATTTTCTTTGGGTTAAAAATCTATCAGGGAATGCATATGAATTTTTATCTTTCCAACCATCCTGGGACAAGAAAAATGTCATCTCACTTACAATGTAAAAAAAAGTTTTCCTCTCCTTTTCTGTGATCATATGTTCTTGGTGCCAATGACCCCCTTTTCCCCCCCCCCCCCCACCACTTTTTTATAATTGGATGCAAGTTTCATAAAAGTGCTTGATGACCCTGAGAAGGGCTATTTGGTTTTATTAGTCCTCAAAAGGACTGTTTAATAATCATCTTCAAAATTTCCTTCTTACACCCCCCCCCCCCCCCCCCCCCCCCCCCCCATGACCCACCACCCTCGTTAAACCGCCAAAATCTTGCTGCACAGATGTTAGCGGTTTAACGGGGTTCAACTGTACTCAAATTTAGACAAGCTAATTTAATAATGCATCATTGTATTACAATCAGCTTAGGGTGTAATTATTGATCCATCACTGAATCCTTGCTATCTATATTTGAACCACTTCAGTAATGCACACAGGTGTGCATTAAATCAAACCCCAAGCATGCAGAGAGGGGAAGTTTTCTGATTTGAGCTTAGTATAACTGACATTTTTTCATACTTTTGCAAGGAGGAAAAACAATTTGAGAACCTCCCTAAAGTTTAATTATATTTTACTGGAAACGAGCTTCATTGATATGCAAAAAAACGCTTGATTCTCAGTATATTAAAGCCTTATTTTCAAAAACTTGAGTAAATCGTTCTCCAAAAGGTTCTTCTTGATCAATGGCCATTCCTCGATGAACAAATGTCCGTTTCCATGTCTTATAGGTTTGTTCACTGTGACCAGCAGAGCTGAAAAAAATTCTGCATTGCTGCAAACATCAAAGATGCATTCAATATAATGTTCAAGAAATGAAAAATACAGTTCTGCTGATGACAGAACTTTGTAGTCCAGATTATTAAAATATGCGAGAACAAGTCCGTCCGCACAACGGGAACACAGCAACAGTGACGAAACTCATTGTCAACCAACTGAGACCTTCACTACTACAACAGTCGCACGGAACAAGAAGGGGAGGAGGAGGAAGAGCAGTAGCAGCAAAAATAGAAAACAAAAACAAAGCAGAGAGAAATGAAAAGATCCTTTCTTGATTCATCTGTTGATCAAAATCCTCGCAACTTCCTCAAATAAATTACCGAGCCACGAATTGCTCCACCTCTCCCAAAGAACGGATGAAAAACAAGAGAAACGAGGAGAAGCCTGTAAAAACTGACCCTTTTCCATGCTTCCTCACCTTGACCAAAATAATCCTTGGCTTCCAAAAATTCACTCTTCTTTTATACAAGTTTTCGTCGCAATACATAAAACGCTCATCAGACCACGTGGCGGTACACAAGTGAAGAGCATGCAGCACAAAAATAAAATAAAAAATCCAGAGACAATAACAACTCAAAACGACGGCCCTGCCCACAACTGAATCCCCGCCCCCTCATTCGATTATTGAACAGAAAAAAAAACCAGAAGACAGAATTCTAAGAAAAGAACTGATCGACAGCAAGCATGGAATCTTACGACAACCACACTTGCAGTCCACGCCAACTTGGTTCGATGTCTGCATTACGACTCCTTCCGCTGACCTGCAGCTTCAAGAATCAGAGATCCCACTGTCACGACCAACGGTGGATGCGTGCGTGTGTGTGTGTGTGTGCCTGCTTCTATTTTTTCTTTTTTGAGTTGCAAGGAGATAGACTACGACAAAGAAAAACGAAAACCAGGAAAGGGTGTGCTCTTCTTCTTCTACCTCCTCCTCCTCCTTGTCTCTCCTCTCCCCGCTCGACTAAAAAATACCTAAAAATGTGTCGCGCATTCAGGTCCTAACATATTCTTCCCTTTCGCTCAAACGACCAAAAACAAACATTAAAGACATCATCATCAAACGGTGACAAATAGGTCATCATCATCATCATTATAATTATAATCATTATCGCTCAATAGTTTTCTTCTTTCTTTTTATTTATTTGGACGCGGACGGTGGCGTCGGGCCGTTGGTGTGCAGACCCGCGCCCGTGACTTCCGCCCAACGCGACTCGAAATACGTGCGCATGTTGTGACCGGCTTTCCCGACGGGCGAGTCGTCCTCGTTGAAAATCTCACAGTTGTCGAAGATTTGACGCACGTCCACCACGAAATCCTCCCTCAACTTGTACCTGCAACGAGAGACGCGAGCATTCAAGTGAAAAACTACCGTGAAACGAATCCATGATCACACTTCTGATGTCGTTCCCTGACGCCATCATGAAATACATGAAGTGCGACCCCCCCGAGATGCGGACGTAAATGGTTCTTACTGAACCTTGTCCCCACGTCAAAACGTCCGCAAGTCGGATCCTGTTTTCCCCATAGACTTCAATGGGAACTGATTTAATTGGTTCTCCTGTTCTTCAAAATGAGGAATGAATTACCAGGAATGAATTACCCGAATATACGATAAATTGCACAACTAGATTGCAAGATACAGAATATGACTGTGTGAAAGAATCTGATCTTCTAGCATGAAAAGGACCAAAAAAGAGAAGTAAAAGTTTAGATGCAGATACTAGGGACAGATGATGGAGAATACAGTATTCCACAAATAAAGAGAAGCACAAAATCTTTGATTATAAATTCGAGTAAATTTATGATGAAATGCATTTTTAATGTTCGTAAATTTTCAGTACAGTTGAACCTCTCTCAGTCAAATTTCAAGGAACCAGCAAAAATATTTGAGTTAAAGTAACAACCATTCTTGTTGGAGCAAGAAAAAAAAATTATATTTACAGGGAATTGCAATTACAGTATCATCGTCTTGGCCTCAAATTCATTCATCATTGGGTTGAAAGGATGCTGATATAATAGCATTGGTTTATTTGCTCAATGAGTATTTCTCTTCCTCTCAAAACACGTCATGAAATATTTTTACTGCTTTGCTCTTTCCTGTTTCAAAAAAATACTGTAATAGCCAAAAGCCAATTGGCTATTGAAGTATTCTATTGAAAAATCTGTCGCAAATTTCTCCAGAAAATTCGACCTATAGAGGTTCCATACGTGAAGCCTTCGAGTCAGACACAATGGATTAACGACATCCCTAACCCTAAGGGAATTCTAACGGATTTAAAGAAACAAATCGACTTTGGGAGTGAAGAATATGCCCAATATCCGAACACTTCCAGAATTTCTGGAACAATAATGGGAACATTTTACAGTTGAACCTCGATAGCTCGAACATCCCCACTTCAAATATTTTTTGAAGTCAAGATCTGATCTCCCTTATGGAGGCAATGCAATGAAAACCTCCCAAACTCCATGTTCTTCCCCTCAAACCTTTGTGAGTCGAATTTTCAGAGATCATTTGGATATTATCTTATTGACACAACACAGAGAAAAGCAATAACAATGTAACAATGTGTTTTGAAAGGAAGTGGAAGACTATTTGGGCAAAAACTCCTTGCCTCCAACTTCAGCATCCTTCCAATTCATTAAGTTAGCAATGGAAGGCCCAGAATATCACCAATTACAATTTTCTGCAATTCATCTTCTTGGCACTGGTTTGATCCTTGGATCTATACCATGAACAAATGCATTTAAATCGGCGGAGAGTATGCTGAACAGGCCTGAATTGTTGCCAAATGATGGGGCAATGCAAGTATCTGTAATACGTATTTTTATGGAATTGTCTGCCAGATCTATTTAAAAATTTTTTTAGATCTCATGAACCAACCCTCGTACGTTCTCATTGAAGCCCATGGGTACGAAAACCCCATCGAAGAAGAATCAAAAGCAGCACAGCAATATTTCCAGTACAGTATACTGTACAAGTGAACACTACGCACGTGGAATCCAGACGCTTCCGGATCGTTTGCAAGTCCATGGGATTTTTGATGATCTTTTTGTACGTAGGGAACTGCTTCGTGTTGACCGGGACAAGAAAGGGCCACGAGTCCTCGTGCACTTCCAGCTCGTCGAGCACCGTTCGACAAGGCGCCAATTCCCTCACCAACATTTCCTAAGACAAACAAATAAAAAAAATGAAAAGAAACGAGGTACAGAGCAAGGCCAGAATCCGCATCATGTCGCACACTCACCTTCTCCTTCTTGTGCATCTTTTTACTCGACCGACCCCCCGCCGCCCCGGACGCCGAAGACCGGCTCTTGGAGCTCGGTTTGGCGTCCGTCGCGTCGTCCCCCGATAAACTCTTCGGCGAGTTCTCCGAAAACGTGTAGATAGAGTCGTTGACGGGCGGCTTTGCCGGCGGCGGACGAGGAGACGGATCTCGACTCGCTCCATTCTCCGTTTTCCGGGGCAACAATCCTCCTCCTCCTCCGCCGCCACCACCATTGTTGTTGTTGTTGCTGCTGCTGCTAACACCGCCGCCAACAGTCGTCGTGACAACAGAACCTCCACCACCTGCTGAACAAGCGGTTTCCCCATTCGGTGCCGTGCTCGAAACAAAGGCTGACGACGTCCCACCAGCGACGCAGTTTGCAGCGGCGGTGTTGGCAGTGCCACCAACAGCGCCGGCGGCCGACGATGTGCCAGACGCTGCTCCAGTCGCCGATGCACCACCACCATTATCACTATTATTATTATTACACGCCGGAGACGCGGTTTTCTTCTTGCTGGACTTCTTCTTCGTCGGGGTCCGTGCAGCGCACGTCACGCACAGCCATTTCCCCCGAGGCATCTTCATTTGCGACAAGAAAACAAATTATAAAATTAATTAATATATTTAAAAAAAGGGGGAAACACTCGTCAAGACAACTGCTCAGACGTGAAAAAAAAAGGGAGGAATTTCAAAAGAACACAAACCTTTGGCAGAGGGGGATTCAAGCACTCGATGTGATAAGCACGAGGTGTGACCAGCGTGCTCGTCTACAAGAACCTGTCGACAGGCGTTTGGTCTGTCACAGAGACCGGTCACCGGAACAACTACGTGAGCATCGTTATGGACGTTTTTGGTGGTTCCGGTACAATGTTGTACATGAAACGGCGACAACTAAAAAAAAAAAAACCGAGCGGATTCGTGTGTTCGGAACGAGGTCACAAATTTTCAAGACTCTTGTACAACAGCAAGTCATGGTTTGAATTCTTAGGGTTGAAAATTAGTCATGTTAGATTGAGGTCTACAATTTACAGCTCTTTAGAACATTCTTCAAAAGAAAATTTGATCAATCGGGTACTGTCCAACACGTAAAACGAATAGTTTAAAAAATGTTCTCGGAATAGAAAGTGAAACAGCATACTTGTACGATTGAGCTGAAAAACATTCTTTGGCGCAAGGAAAAAATATATTCAGCCCTGCTTGACGTATTTAAAAAAAATAATTTTGCGTAAGTCACACTGGCAGCTTTCTGCTCTTCACTCAAAAGATGAGCCGCTATATCGCAGATTTTTTAGTGTACCTCAGCTTTCCCATCAGATTTCTTGGAAGTGACGTGGCATTCTTTCCAAGAATTGCCACCATTAATTCAATATTCATTCCGCCAGTTTCATCAAGAGCCGCCACATTTCTCATCCCAAGCGGCGGCCGTTGAAAATGATGAAATGACCTGGGAAGACCTGGAGGCAACCCTAGGAAATTTCATGCCGTACACCAAAAAATCTGCGAGATGGGCGCCTCATCTATCGAGCGAAGAGCAGAAAGCTGCAAGGGTCACTTTCGCAAAATTTTCTGCAAAATGTGTCGAACGGATCTGATTTTTCCTTATTTTGCCAAAGAATTTTTTTTTTCCAAACGAAAATCGCTCTTCAGGTCAACCAGCACATGCCTTTTCAAGCTCTATCCCGGGAACTTTTGTACCTCTTTTCATCGAAGATATTTCTTACGCAATTTTAGAAAACCTGTGTGACGAGAGTGTCGAAGCTCAAGTTTCCACAATAAGTTCTTCGCGTGCAACAGAATGTACAGCACCGTGAAATCCGGCGGGGAAAAAAAAAGAGACCCTCTACCTAATTTTTCCCTTAAATCATCAAATATACGATAATTCGTAGTTGATGCTCGTCTCCGCCTTTCTTCGTTTCGCACAATCACTCACTCACTTATACAGCACATTCAAAATACCATTCTAGGACGACATCAGTTTTACGCATCAAAAAAGACCGAGTCTGGAAACGAGCTAGTGAGTGGTTAGCGGCAGGCCTTACAGCAAGTAGCCTCCGAACTTCGTCATCCACACCATGGGGAATAGTGTCGGCAGTGTTTCGTCGTCGAACAGGAGCACCAGGGGCGACACCCAGAACTGACAATTGGCCTTCATGATGGACCTGTCCCAGGCGATGCTCCGGACGTCGTGCACCTACCGGTACAACTCAACCCGGCTGCAGCAGCGGACGCTGTGGGGCAGGGAGGTGTCGTAGTCGCGGGCGCCTTACAAGAGGTGTTGGTGCAGCAGGAGCAGTCGCAGCAGGTCGTGGCGATGGGACGAAGAAACCGACGACGTTGTCGAAGATGACGTCGTTGTTGTCGTCGTCCCCGTCGCGTGCAATCCACCTGTCGTCGACGATGACGTTGATGTTGCTGTCCCGGATCCCGCTGACGACGAAAGCAGTGCACCACTCGCCGCCGCATTGGACGCGGCGGCTGCAGCTGCTGCCGCCGCCGCTGCAGTCGTCCGCCGACTCGTTTCCCCGCCCGAACTCTTGCTCGGAGTCGACGACGCGGAACTCGACGTCACGCTCGACAGCTTCACGTTCCCACCGCTGGTTCGCCAAAAGAGGAAATCATAATCAGTAGGATCCTTCTTCAACAAACCAAGAATCGGTCAACAAACTTTTGTGCCCAGGAAAAAAATTTCAAATTTCGGTCATGACACTGAACTTTACGATACAATCTACGGTAATTGCTGCTACTGCTTCAATGCACAAATCAAAAGGAAAAACGATTAGGCAGACCAAAGGCATACATTTTCCAAGTTCGTTCAACACTACGTGAATAAACGAGGATGTGCCATGGTTTGAGCAGAATCAATTGAACAAATTATATCCAGCTCCTGTTAGAAGCTGTGGACAAAGGCAAATTTTCAAACAGATTTCTCGACTTTTTTCCACAGTTAACAATTCACTCTTTAGTTAAAGCATTGCAAAATTAACATTTCCCTTTCTGGTGACAGTTAACCTATCGTACGTGAATGTTTTTCGAATCCTCTTCACATTCAACATTTAGTTGGTTCCTTCATCACCCATTAAGTTCCTTATCAAGGGTCCGCGGCAATGTACAGTGGACCCTTGGTAGATGAATGAACTTCCAGCTGGTTCCAGACAAAAGTTTGTTGACGGAATTTGATTTTCCCACAGAATTTAATGAAGAATATATCAATCCGTTCCTGGCACACAAAATATAATTGAAAATGCAATGAAAATAAATTCATGACAAATATCTCATCAGAATTAGTTACTGCTGAATCCTTTAGTAGAGTTGAATGGGACTATAATGAATTTAAACAGGACTCAAAAAGCTTTGCATCCAGAAAAACATTCACATATGAGCAGAATAACAGACACTAGAAAACATTTTAATTTGACGATCATGCAACGAAAGAAAAAATTCAGCACTTGAACATTGTAAACAAGTTGAAAAAACAAATTGCAAGTGTTTCTCACAGATGCTCAGCTGGATATCATTTGTGCAATTGGTTCTGCTCAAACCACACAAAACCCTCATTTACTCGGTTCATGTTGAAAAAATCTTTAAAAGTGTTGTGTAACCCTTCGGTCCGCCAAATAATTTTTCTGCTCGACTTGTCCATTGGAACTGCAATGAAGTCGTACTTTACAGTTCAGGGTAACGAGGAACTTCGCAATTTTTTCCTTGGAGCACAAGTTGGTTGACCGAATTTTGGTTTGTCCTCGGAGGTATTTTTCTTCAAAGGCAAAAGTTTTTTTTTTAATTAAAAGTTTGTTAATCGAGGGTCTACTGCACTGTACTGCATAGCATCTGCCCTGTAAAAGAAGAGGAATATAGGTTCGAGGGGAAAAGCGTAGTCAAGTTACCGATGGATACGGGGTCCCCGCGGAACTACATCGCTGCGAGCTAGCGGCGGAGCTCCTACTCGTCTGCAAGTGCGCGGCACAGGTGGCCCAAGTGGGAGAGCAGGAACGGGGGCAGGAGCGGGTGTGCGTCATCACAGGATGCTCGGAACGTCAAACTGTCCTGGTTGCTCACCCGTGGAGGCGGGCGCCAACCCTGCAATCAACACGGGGGAAGCAAGAAACGAGCCGATTAGAAAATTATACTGTACAGCAGTACTAGAGTAAAATCTCGTCACAAACAATTTTCCAGAGCAGCAAATTTGTTCCCGAGAGAGTCCTGGCAGAAAAACTAAAGAGAACATGTTGAAGCAATCTTGTTACAACAAACTTTCCTACTCCGTTATAACCAACTTTTTCTAAGGATCATTTTGTGATTTTCCTAAAACTTTAAATGAAAAATCCACAAGGAAGAAGACAGGCACGGCACATTCTCAAATTTCTCATTCCAAAAGTGACTGTGACTCGTTCTTCGGACATAAATTGAAGGTAGAATCAAATGTGATTTTCCTAAAACTTTAAATGAAAAATCCATAAGGAAGAAGACAGGCACGGCACATTCTCAAATTTCTCATTCCAAAAGTGACTGTGACTCGTTCTTCGGACATAAATTGAAGGTAGAATCAAATATTCTTAAAAATTCATTTGAACATTCTGTCTTTTGAAGATTTTTCCTCGGTTAGGAAGTGCCTGAACTCTTCTCTTACATTGTTCGAACAATTAACGGTTGTCTCCAAGTTCAGCATCACAACAAATCATTACATGAGCAATTTAAGGCGCAGAATATCAGCCTTCACAATTTCCTGCAAATCTTCCGTGTTTCCCACACCAAAAAAAATTCTTGTTTCTCCAACTCCGAATTTTCTTTCTGCTGGTCGCGTCAAATTTCGCCTCAAAAGAAATTATTTTCTCCTTTCAATAAGCCGGACTATGTTTCAACAACGGTTGTGTGCAGGGATGGGGAACGCTGACAAGCGGCGGATAAACTCGAATACCAATCAATCAATCAATCGTCACTCGCCTTGATTTGCATGGACGCACTGGCCACCTTCTCCTCCAACTCCTCCACCTGCTCCAGCGTCGACAAGTCCAATCGCATGGCCACGTCAGCCGAGTAAGCACCGTGCTCGTCCGGCTTCTGTGATTTTCCTAAAACTTTAAATGAAAAATCCACAAGGAAGAAGACAGGCACGGCACATTCTCAAATTTCTCATTCCAAAAGTGACTGTGACTCGTTCTTCGGACATAAATTGAAGGTAGAATCAAAAATTCTTAAAAATTCATTTGAACATTCTGTCTTTTGAAGATTTTTCCTCGGTCAGGAAGTGCCTGAACTCTTCTCTTACATTGTTCGAACAATTAACGGTTGCCTCCAAGTTCAGCATCACAAAAAATCATTAAATAAGCAATTTAAGGCGCAGAATATCATCCTTCACAATTTCCTGCAAATCTTCCGTGTTTCCCACACCAAAAAAAATTCTTGTTTCTCCAACTCCGAATTTTCTTTTTGCTGGTCCCGTCAAATTTCGCATCAAAAGAAATTATTTTCTCCTTCCAATAAGCCGGACTATGTTTCAAGAACGGTTGTGTGCACGGATGGGAAACGCTGACAAGCGGCGAATAAACTCGAATACCAATCAATCAATCAATTCAGTGAGCGGAACTAAACGTACCTGCGTGACCGGTGGAAGAGGAGGTTGAGGAGGTGGACGAGGTCGCAGCTGTTCAGGTTAGCGTACCGGTGCAGTCGGCTCATTCGTGGCACGAGCAGGCCGAAGGGCACGCCGAACAACCGAGGGATCTTCAACAGCGGCAACGGCCTTTCGACGTCCATCGACTCGCCGTCTTCACCAGCCAGTCGCGTCGAGATCGGCGGCGGCGGGTACACCAACTTGGTTTCTCGCTCCATCACCTTGGAAAAAGGGAACAACAATTAATCAATAACCATTCCCGAAGACTTTCCTCTCTGCATGCAGCCGTTTAGTGAATTACCCCGTGAAATCAAACCGTATTCACTCGAGTACAACGCGCCCTCCAATAAGACTAGCAACTCGATTATATGGCGCAAAATTTCCTCAAAAACTTATCCCCAAACCCCAACATTTTTTACCCCCAAGTGAAAATTTGATTGTTTCTATTTAAAAAGTCGAACCTCTTCAAGTTGAATTTCAAGGAACCAGCAGAACAATTCGAGTTAGGGAAACAAGCATTTTTGTTGCGGTGAAGAGAGAAGAATTGAAAAAAATTTCATGGTAATATTGTAGGCCTTTAATTACTTTTCAAATTAGTTGACAGGATGCTAAACTTCAAGGCAAAAGTTCAAGGATCATTCACATTCAAGCGCACAGTTGATCTTTCACTTTGTTTTTTCATAACACTTCAAGTTATATTTGTTATTACTTTTCTCCTACCTTTTTCAAGAAAATATTTTAGGGAGGTTCGAAAGAAAAGGCTTCCGATTGAATAATGTTTTTGATCCTCCGTTCCCAATGTAATTCAGACAGGGACTCGAAAAAAATTCGACTTTATGAGGTTCACTACAGTACAGTAATCGCAATTTTTCTACAACATTCTCATGATATTATGAAAGAACACAGAGGATTGGGACAAGATTGGTACAGAACAAAATTTCGAATAAATTTTCTCATTTAAGACTAACTTGCGAATTACACTACTGTATTATATTTTCGTGATTTTTATACCCGCATTACACGCGCACCCCACTTCTCTATTTTCTAGAGGAAAAAAAGGCGAGCATGGCACTCGGATAAAGACTTTAAATGTTCAGGGGGATGATGAACAAACGATGACGGATGCGAAGAAGAAAAGCCATCAACATTCAAAAAAAAAAGTAAAAGAAGAAAAATAGCTCAGTGCTTATTACACACTAGATCAGAGGATCACAGTTAGCAAACATTTCAGTTTCCAGAAGGCCAACACGTGACAAAAGCAATCAAGTGTTGCTGACTCAAAAGCGAGTTATGAAAGACATCTGATCGCATGAATCAATCGCGAAGGCGTACTCACGAGAGTGTCGACTTCGGACCGCTGCCGATTTTTAACCGGACCATCATCCCATCAGCACAGAATATTTAAAGAAAAAATTACAGCTTTTAAAACGGTCTTTTCATCGCTCAAAAAAAAAAACAACGAAGCACGTTTTCGAATGAACGATGCAAGTTCGGGAAGAGCAGAAAACCGTGCGAAACCCTTCTCCCACAACATGCCATTCTGAATTTTTTTATTTTCCACAAAAACGTGAAGAAACAAAACACATACCCGATCACAGGCCCGCATGATTTGGTCTTCGTATTTCTCCATGAAACGCTTCAGCTCTCTCTCGCGGATTCCTCGGTGGTGAAGTTTCTTGGAAATTTCTCTGATCAATTCCTTGTCGACAACTCGCCACCAGCCACGCTTGAATTCTGCGGAAGGAACGTTTTCGCGATCAGCAATAATTTGTACAGCGGAGACTGCGACAATCAGATACCACGAAATACGAACAAGTCCACTCGGGAACACTTGAAAAAAAAAACTTGTAATGACATCTAGACAATGTCTCGAGATATGGGCACTGTTAGCACTCCTAGACGAATGGAACAATTTTACTTCCAAAATACAGCTATACTCTCTTTACTTCATCTTATCAACATCGATTTTCTCTGCATGCCGATTTCTCTATATTCGGACAAATTTCTGAGTAGAACAAACATTTTTTCAAGTCCCGACGGATGTCCTACAGGGTGATTGTTATAAAAATCTCAATAAAACCAACTCATCAATACCAGTGTGACAAACTTTTCTGCGGAACATTTGATGAAAAATCTGTATAATGAAGGCTTCAGGCACAGTCTCGAAATCCAATTTAAAATGTGACTGTGACTGGTATGCAACGTGGAATCAAGGACAAAAATTCTTCAAGTTCATCTGAACATCCTTTCTTCGAAAAAGTGTTGATTGGGTAGGGAAGATGGGGGAGAAGTTTCAGATGAAAAAAAATAACCCAGCATAACTGATGTTAGAAGGGGGTTTTGCATGCTTTAGAAACCCTACTGATGCTTAAAAGCTGTAAACTTTTTTGGAACACCCACCCTTTGAAATGTGTGCAGGAATTGCTTAGAAAAACTTGGAAGTACACAAAATGGCTCAAGGTTAAATGTTATTCAGGGTAGATGTACGATATCAACATCAAACACTGGAAAACAGATAAAAAGGCCACAATTGGAACATGTTGAATATATGCAGGTTTAATTGAAAAAAATCTTCACATCAGTCAATAATTTTTAAACTCTCATTACAATAAACTGAATGAAGTATTCGTACAGTAATAACAAACTTTTCTGAAGTCCCCACAAGTTTCTCGCAACAAGATCCAATTATCTGTATCCAATTTTTAGGGGGAATTTTTATCTTACTTTCGATGAATAGTAGACACACTTTCTTGGGGCCCTACCAAAAGAAACACGGTTATCTAAAAAATAAGAATAGAGGTACCTTTCGGAACCGGTTTCGCTTCAGGATTGTGTTTCAGACGCTTCAAGAAGGCTTGGATCTTCTGATCGTTGGCGGCCAAGGCCGTGAGACGATTCATATTGTTGTTGCTGTTGCTCGCGTCTGACGATGTTGGTGTCGTCGCTGTCGCATCGGTATCAACTGCACCAACAGCGACGGCGACAGACGAAGAAGGAGGAGGAGTAGTGTGAATCAAGTTGTTGATGAGCACGTCAACAACATGTGGTTCGAGGCCCGAGAGATCAAACTTATCACCACCGCCCTGCTCTTTGCAAAAGTTGCTGAGCTGGGTAAACTTCTCACGCGTCTCCTTGCGGATGACGGGAGGCGGCAGCTTGGCGGCTGCAGCAGCGTCACACGACCGCCGCGGGAGAATACTGAACCAATTCCGCTCCGGCAGCGGCGGATGCACGTGTTGTTGTTGTTGTTGCTGCTGGACCGGACTCGCTTTGAGCGGATCGGACTTGGGAGGGATGAGCAGAGCGCCGCCGGGCAAAACGGCGCCGCCAACGTCTCCAATGGACGTCGGAATCAGGGCCGGCAACGGCTTCACCTTGGCCGGACTGACTTCTTCCTTCAAAGACGACGACGCTGCTCCTTTCGGTGAGTCTTCATTCGACGCTTCATTCTCGGCTTTCGCCTTGGGCTCAACAAAGGCGTCGCTCTCCTTTTCCAACACCGACTTGGGGATCAACGGCGGCGGGCCATTCTCTTCGGTGTCCATCGGCTCCGAGATACTCTGGTCTCGTCGCACCAGACACGGCGGTTCGCTGTCGTCTGTTCCACCATCGTCGGGGTCCACGCCGTTGTCTTCATTCCCCGAGTTCTCTTCGTCTTCGTCGAGTAACGGGTGGTCTTTCCGGTACTCGGCTTCGTCCTCGTCCAACTCTGCTCTGCTGTGCAGGACCCCCGACTCGATTCCCTCGACGAACACGCCGCCGGCCGACGCGAGAACGAAATAATTCCGATGGAATCTAAAAAGAGAGATCACATGAAAAGACAGGACAAGAAAAAGAAAAAAAAAGGAAATCTCATTTTGGTCTAACAGCGTGGGTTGCAGAAAACGAAGTGCGTCTCACGGGGTTACCATCAAGAAGTCTTCAAAGAAGGGTTTTCATATTAATTATTCGTCAGAAAGTCTGGATTGCAGAATTTAAAATTGTGTCTTAAAAGGTTACCCTCAACAAGTCCCACGCAATGGGGATTCATCATGATTTTAGGCCAGGAAGTGTGGATTGTAAATTTGAATCATTTCGTTCACGCGGTTTCTTTCTTTTTTTTTCAAAAGAAAATGTCTGAAACATGCTGTAAAAGCAAAAATTACCAAATACATTTAGTATCAAATATGCGGATGCAGAACAATTTTTGGGGACTGTTTGTTTCTTTGCCTTTGTTTGTACAATGCCCTTTGCTCACAGTACGACGGTGAAAAATCGCACTACAAGCGTTCGTTGTTCAGAAGTACGTCACACGACGTACTACTTGTTGTATGGAACAGCATAAATGAAATTGACGTACCTGTCTTGACCAATGTGCTGACCACGAAGTCGACACAAGGCGTCCCAAAGGGCGTATCGCCTCTCCTCAGAGTCCTGAATCAAGCTTTCCATTTTCTTCTCAACGTCCTCCTTGCTCATGCTCTCGGCGAGCATTTGTAATGCCTGTTTCGCAAAGGAGGAAAACGGTTGAATGATCGCGTTCTTAAAAACCACTGGTATGAACCCATGGCCTGGAAATATTATTCTTTGGCCGTACGGGTGGTAAATTCTCTTCCGCATAAAAAATGTATCAAAGGTAATAATGAAGTCTGCTATCTTCATCTGAAATTTGGGAAGACAATCGCAGTTCAATTTATCTGATGAAAAATCAAAGTCGGGTTTACGTCTAATGATACTTCGGACAAATTTTCATATACTGTACTGGAAAAAAAAAAGTTTGATTTTTCATCAAGAATCCTCTCTTCAAGCCCACCTTTCCAATTTTTAAAGAAGACATTCCACTATAGATGCTTCTGATTTTCGCAATAGATGTTTCGTTCGGAGGACTCATGGCAGGTTTTGGAAAAAATTTATACTGGCCTGTAACAATTTCATGGAATTTTACCAGTGCAAAAAAATTAATGAAAATTTGAGGTCCGCTGGCTCAAAAAAGTTGAGGATCGCTGCTCTTCACCACAAATTATTTCCGAAAAATGCTTCGAACAGGGCAGTGATTTCAACCATTTCCTCGAAGTACTTCACACTCAACGTCCTGATTTGAGGCAATTCTATCAAATACACATTCATTTTATCTCTATTGAAATGTCTTTCACAAGACTAGTTTCACGAATCGCTACTCGTGAAGGCTCGTCGTTGGACAACCAAACGACTTACCGCATCACTCCCGAAATCTTCAGTCTGATCGCTTTCGTTTCCGCTCTCTTCCTCTTCTTCTTCCTCATTCTCCTCGTTTTCCTTCGTACCTTCGCTCGTTCCGGAAACCGTCGACATGTTCGAATCCTCCGGATGATTGGCAACATGCAGTCCGGACGACAAACGCTTCAAAGAACCCTTGTACTTTCTCTGGTAAACCATCTTGAGTCTTCACACGAAAAAAAGAACGATAAAATATTTTTATGACCTGAAAACGGTCGAACAACGAGGTGAAATGAAAAAAAATACTGACTTTCTCAAATGACCGTCGGTGAGCCACTTGTCTTTTCGAACAGCGTTGAGGTTCTCGATGGAGTCTTCAATGTACCTGACCACAGCCTTGTTCTGCAGCAGCTCGTGGCAAATGAAGGCGACGATGGCAGACTTGTCAGTGGGATTCAGCGACAAAAACGGCTTCTCGCGCAACTGCACGCTCAGTTTGAAGATGGCGTTTTGACTGAGGCGCTGAATGAAGGCCTCAGTCTTCTCGACAAGCACGTCCTTTCGATCCAGCGGGACGCCCATCGCACTCTTCACCTCTCCGTTGGCGTTGGCGGTGAGGTAAATCTTGAGCACCTCGGAGAGATTGGCAGGAGTGATGTCGGCTTGCTTCAGCGACTGGCCCAAGATGGTCGTGTGTCGGTTCGGGTGCGGAATGCCCGGGTCCTCGATGGCACACACGAGCAGATGGCACACGACGGACATGAGCTCGTCTTCGGAATTGTCGTCATTCAACAAGGCCAGCTGGAGACCGTTTAAAGTCGGCAAGCTTCCCATGTCTGCACAAAATTCAAAAAAAGAAAAAAAAAACACGTAAGATTTTCAAAATAAATTCGAGCCTATAAAGAGATTCAGAACCTACCAAAGCCCAGAGTTTCTCCAAACTGGTGCAGGAATTCAAAGACCATGAGAATGTTGGCAAAAGCAGCGCCGGGCAATCGGAGGCACGGAATGCGTTTCACGTCCGGCAAGTCGTCCAAGTCTGCAAAAGAACAAATGAATCACGGCTTCATTAGCAGCTGGTATTTTCATCTTTCACACGACGTTGACTATGCCAGGTCAAGGTTTGTCACCTTGGAAACTTCTCTGACAAATCCATCTTCATGAACATAATTTTTGAGTACAGCTATTTCTAGGAAGTTGGCGCTGCGCTTGATAATACCTTTCTTAATGGCATGTTTTTTTTTCACTTCTTTAAAATCCAAGTTGAGAATCATGATCTCAAGAATGTTCTGCTTTACACAAAGCATTCCTCGTAGAGTACATGTACCAAAATGAACATCATTTCAGAGCTTCCCGAAGGCGAAAATATTGGCAAACAATAATAATCAACCGTGTTTCTTTCTTCAAGCAGTTTCCGATTCCGACTTTGATTTTCATCACGGTCCTTCAAGAATAAAAACCAACCAACTCGAAAACATCCGAATAGCTAAAATATCGTTACAACGAAGCTATCGGAAAAAAGTAACTTCGTGACAATAATTTCGTTCAAACACGATTTTGATATCATTATTGCTATCGGGCGGGGACTTGAAAAACGAAAAAAGTAAAAAAAACGACTACGTTGAAATTTATACGTCTTGCTTTCATGAAGGAATCATCAATTTCGCCAGGAAAGCTTCCACATTTCAAATTTTCAATGAAGGAAGGTGTCATACTACAACAAAAATCTTTTTCAATGACGTAAATTCAAAAATATGATGCTCAAAATTACCCCGAGTTTTCAAGTGAGCATGGTCATGTGCTTCTCAGTTATAAACAATAATAGCCTCAGAAAATGGCCTCAATTTCTTTAATTTTGACCCGATTTTCAAAAATGAGTTTTTTTTTTTTTTTTTCGTAGCACTAAAGGAGGTGACGCTAAATCAGGGGTTTCTTTCAAGGACACAATCGAAGGTTGACTGTACAGTACAGTACAATATTTCAACTCCACACGCACCATTAATCTCGAGATCTTCCACGGCACGACGCAGTTCTTTCATAAGCTCAACTTCGATGCGACGACGATCCAACTTCCTGTCCTTCACAGCTTCCTTCTCCAGTTTGACTTCGTTGCGACGCCTTTCTCGCTCTTCCCACCGCTTGCGGGCGTCCAATGATCTCAGCAGGGCCATGTGCTGCCGCCGTCTCTCTCGCTCCTTCTCAACAAACAAATACCGAATCAATCTTTTTCAGATCTACAGAGAAAATCCCACACCTATAAATTTTTCGGTATAATTAATTTTTTTTTACAGTTCTGGCAAAAGCCCACAGAGTTACATTGTTAAAATTACAGTGTTTAAGTGTTGAAGGGATTTTTCCTCGAAACCAAAAGTTTGTTAACCGAGGATACACTGTAATGAGGTTTTCACTGAAATCGACAAAATACACGGTAAAAAGCTGAATCCGGCTCGAACAAACCTGCTCCTGGATCATGAGAGCCTGCTGCCGCTTCAACTCCTTCTCCTGCAGCATCTGATGCAGTCGGATCCGTTCCTCTTCCTGCGCCTTCTCGCGCTCCTCCTGCTTGCGACGAAACTCGTCCTGCTGCTGCTGCCTCAGCNCAGGTGAAGGTGAGTCACCTCGAAAGCTTCTCTGACGAAAGCATCTTCATGCATACAATTTTTGAGTACAGCAATTTCGCGGAAGTTGGTACTGAGCTTGATAATAACTTCATAATGGCGTGCTTTTTCTTTCACTTCTTTACAATCCAAGTTGAGAATCATAATCTCAAGAATGTTTTTCTCCACACAAAGCATTCCTCGTAGAGTACATGCACCAAAATGAACATCATTTCAGAGCTTCCCGAAGGCGAAAATATTGGCAAACAATAATAATCAACCGTGTTTCTTTCATCAAGCAGTTTCCGATTCCGACTTTAATTTTTATCACGTTCCTTCAAGAGTAAAGACCAAACAAATCGAAAACATCCGAATAACTAAGATATCGTCCCAACGAAGTTGTTAGGAATCGGAAAAAAGTATCAATAATTTCGTTCGAACACAATTTTAAAATCATGACTGCTATTGGGCAGGGACTTGGAAAACGACTACGTAGTAAGCAATAATTCGTTATACCAAGATTCGTTGTAACGAGTTTCCACTGTTATAACGTAAAAATCCGAAGGGCTCGTCTCAAGCAGAAATGTATCGATCTTCAAGTGTTGGACACTTCATTGAGCTCACAATAATTTTAATTTCGCGGACATGCGCCTTGTTCTCTTCTTGTACATATAATCCTCGATTTAGTGTCACCATATGCCCTAAAACAAAATCGAGGTTATTCAAGAGAAGAAGGTTTAGTTGAGAGGTATCTATTGCGACAAAAATAAATAAACTCGTTCACAGAATTATCAGGGCAGTCAGCCTTTTCTTATATGAAAAGTCAGAAAAAGTAATTTTAAGCTCAAACGTATTGTTTCTGCATTGTTCAGTATCCATTTCGAAATATTTATGAAGACAAAATATATTTGATTTTTACACATATTGTGTCTAGTAAACGAGCAGAGCTGTTTCTTGAGTGAATTTGAAATTTGTAAGCTTTGCTTTCGTGAAGGAATCATCAATTTCGCTAGGAAAGCTTCAACTTTTCAAATTTTCTATGAAGGAAAGTGTCATACTACAACAAAAATCTTTTTCAATGACGTAAATCCAAAAATATGATGCTCAAAATTACCCCGAGTTTTCAAATGAGCATAATTATGTGCTTCTCAGTTATGACCCAATGATATCCTCAGAAAAATGCCACGATTTCTTTTCACTTTTGAACCAATTTTCAAAAATGACAGATTTTTTCGTAGCACTAAAGGAGTTGACTCTAAATCAGGGGTTTCTTTCAAGGACAGAATTGAGGGTTGACTGTACAGTACAGTACAATATTTCAACTCTACACGCACCATTAATCTCGAGATCTTGGTGCCGTGCTGCGTCAAGAAAGTATTCGAGTTGAAGCTACGCTGCTGCTAGGTTGAAGGACAGGAAGTGTCGAAGGAAGAGGTCAAACTGAAGCAACGCTGCGGAAAGAGCGAGAAGGGTGGCGAATCGGGCGTCCAATGATCTGAGCAGTGCCATGTGCTGCCGCCGTCTCTCTCGCTCCTTCTCAACAAACAAATACCGAATCAAACTTTCCCAGATCTACAGTGAAAATCCCACCACAATAAATGTTCCAGTATAATCAATTTCTTCTACAGTTCCGGCAAAAGCCCACAGAGTATCATGTTGAAACAAAATTGTTATCAGAAACTTCAAAATTTCAGCATAAAAATTTTTTTTTTGAGAAATGTTCAATAGATTCTCCAGGTAGGAATTTTCCGACTAAAACAGGCGCGTTATGAAGTTTCTAATCGCAAATTTCACCAACACTGGTTCCTATAGCATGAATGGAAGGTTGTAATCAATGACATGCTTCCAAGGGGTTCCACACATCATCAACCCGTTTGTTTCTCTACATACTTTGACTACCTTTCGTAATAACTTCGATTCAAAAGAGCCTTCTAGTGAATCAAAAAGTAACTTATGCGTTTCTAAACTCTTAACGTCTTCTCTTTCTACATTGACAAATGTGTCAGGTCAGATGTTGAAATTTTAGGCAATTAATTTTGAAAATCTCGTTATATTACGAATTACTTATGATAACGAAATTTTTCCGAAGTGCCGAAGCGTTTGCTGTAACGAGATTTGACTATCTTCCTTATTTGACAAATGTTGGCCTGTTGAAGGGATTTTCCCTCGAAACCAAAAGTTTGTCACCCGAAACGTTTGTTAACCGAGGATACACTGTAATGCGGTTTTCACTGAAATCGACAAAACAAACGGTAAAACGCTGAATCCGGCTCAAACAAACCTGCTCCTGGATCATGAGAGCCTGCTGCCGCTTCAACTCCTTCTCCTGCAGCATCTGATGCAGTCGGATCCGTTCCTCTTCCTGCGCCTTCTCGCGCTCCTCCTGCTTGCGACGAAACTCGTCCCGCTGCTGCTGCCTCAGCTGAGAGCCTGCTGCCGCTTCAACTCCTTCTCCTGCAGCATCTGATGCAGTCGGATCCGTTCCTCTTCCTGCGCCTTCTCGCGCTCCTCCTGCTTGCGACGAAACTCGTCCTGCTGCTGCTGCCTCAGCAGCTGCTTCTGCTTCCGGACAGCCTCCATCTTGATCCGTTTCGCCTCACGATCAGCTTCGCGGACTTCGATCCGCTTGGCGCGACGCTCGGCTCTCCACTCGGCCATCCGCTTCGCCACGAGGGCTTCGTCGAGTTTGTTCTCTGATTGCAACTCTTCGATTACTTTGTTCTGGTGCTCGCGCTCCTCCCTGAGGAATTCCAACCTTCGGTGGTCACAACGAGAAGGGAAACAGATGACCCGGAAACAAAACAGCAGCACCAGGAAAAAGGAAAAAAACAAAACGGAAAGCAACGGAGGAAGGGACGAGAAAAATGAAGGATTCCCCCCGAGGCACCACACAAACAAATTAACGGATTTTGCGTGCAAATTTAACGTATACGCAGTGAAAAGGAGATTCAGGAGATAGAGGAGAAGGAAATAAAAAGAAGAAGAGAATGAAACAGGGAGAGAGAAAGAGAGAGAATTACGACTTCATTAGACAAGCAAACTTGATTCACGACTACACCACCATTCCGACTTCCGTGAATCACTAAAAATCTAAATAATCCCCGCTTTTCTCGTGAATCGCAGAAAGAGAAAGCCAATTAACAGATCTAGATCGTATCCAGCTCAAATTATTCGATTCCTCGCAACTGACATTCATAATTTACAAAAATACTCAGCTCTAGACAAAAAAAAAATCTTCCTTGACCACGACTACGAGTACAGTACAGTACGCTTTCTACAAGAAACCTCTGGCAGTCGCGAGCTTAAACTGTACCAAGTAGAAGCATTCTTTCGAAATAAGCTTCAATCAAATATATCTCATTTATATTGTTACGTAAAAAAAAAGGAAAACCAAGCAGATCTCCGCTTGTTAAGTAGCCGAAAACGTCCAGCAACGCTGCTTTGGGTTGGGTGGAGGCGAAAAGTGCGTAAAAGAGCCGAGCCACGTCGGGTGGCCCTAAGACCCGGGCGTTGAGGAGCTAAGCCAAGGTTTAATCGTCTTCTGAAAGCTTGATGAGTCTCCCTTCCGGTGGCATCGGGTATAAGAATTCCCCAACCACTGCTCTCGGACTGAAGCTGAAGTTCTCTCGCTTCAGTGATGAACTTTGACGCTCGACGTACTGCAAAGAAAAATGGAATCGCGAAAATAAATACAGTTGTACTCGCTGATAAAAGCTCAAAAGTTGCCACAAGAAAATATGAGTCGGCATCTTTTTTTCTTGGGGCAAAACATACAAGATTTCGGCATGGTCCTGAGTGAGTTTCGCAAAGCTCTCGGCTCCTGACTCAAAATTCTTCGTAAAAAATCAGCTGATTCAGCAATTCAATTTATAAATTATCAAGAAAATTTCCAATAGCTTTAAAGCGGTATGCCAATCCGATGTACAGATAAATACTGTATCAATAACTCGAACATCCCTACATCGAATTTTCTTTCGAGTTAAAGACTGAATTCCATTGTAGCAATGAAGAGAAAACCTTCCGAACACAAAGGCTTTGTCTCTCAAACCTCCATAACCGAAATTTTCCGAAGGTCTTGAAAGAGAAAAGCAATAAAAATGTAACTTGAAGTTTTTTGAAAGGAAGTGGAAGACAAATTAAAATATAAACCATTGCCTCCAAGTTCAGCATCCTGTCAACTCATTTAAAAAGCAATTCAGAGGGTCCAAAATATCACCGATTAGGATGTCCCGTAATTATTTTTTCTCTCCCTCAACAATAAATATGCTCGTGTCTCCAACTCGGATTTCTTTCCTGTTAACTTCAAGTTACACCTACAGAGGTTCGAGTCGTACATGCACACAAGTAAACTCAATCGAGAGAGACTAATTTGGTAATGGTCTCTCTATTGCAACGAATCAAGTCCATTAACCGAGGCACCAACGATACTCGAGACAGAAAAGAAAGAGAGAATCTCCCTTTTTTTTCCTTTAAAAAAAAACCCTTCTTTTTTGAGTGAGCCTACTGAAGCCCTATGACGAACTCCGCAAAAGGCGTTCCGCGTATCATCGATTGAAGCGGAAAGTGCGGTGTGCGACAATAAGGAAACTACTAGTGATCTCTTCTCCAGCCGTGGGAGAGGGGGACTCGCAGGTCATTTTCGATCACCTGAACCCGCCTGCGCTTACGCGCTATTCCTGATCACAAAGATTCACGCCACACGCTGTTATTCCTTTGATGATCACTTCTCTTCTCCAGCCGTGGGAGAGGGGGACTCGCAGGTCATTTTCGATCACCTGAACCCGCCTGCGCTTACGCGCTATTCCTGATCACAAAGACGAGAATAATACAGTAGTTGAGAACCTTTTCCAAAATCGAGTTTAGATTACGCAGCATCATCTTACTACAGCAGATTTTTCAGTAGAAATTTTTTTTTAGGAATGTTCAATACTTTTTCCAGGTAGAAAATTGCCCGATTAAATCAGGGGAAGTCTGAAATTTCGAATCCGAAATACCTGTTTCTGGCGGTCAGTCAAAACTGTAGGAAAACCTGATTGGAAATGATTTTTTATCAAGATCACTCAGCTTTTCAAATTGTACAAGAAAAAATCTGAGCACGCCATAAAAGAAAAGATCTATAAGTTATGATAAGCAGGCCTTGCGTAGGAATTTGTTTCAGTCATTATTTCTGAATATCTCATTAAATAGCAAATTAATCAATACAGTACAGTATAAAGAGCTTTTTCTTCTGCAGTCCCCAAAAGTTCGTTGTAACGAGATTTTCACCACCGAACACTCACCACCGAACAAGGACGATGAAGAGCCCGAGCGGTCGTGAACCCCGTCAGAGTCCACGCCGTCAAACTCAAATTCATCGTCGAACTCGTCGTCGTCGAGATCGTAGTCGTCGAGCGACGAGTCACCGTGCGACTCGGCAACGCTGGAAGCATCTTCGTCAGTCGTCTGACGTTGGTGCTTCTGAATCAGGCTCTGCTGTTGTTGTTGTTGCTGCTGATGCGTCTTCTGCAACTGCAGCTGAACCTGCATCTGATGTATGAGTTGCGCTGCTTCCATCTCCGTCAAGTTCTCCACCGCCATCAGGCGTTTCTGCAACGCGATCAACGCTTGATCCTCGCTGCTCCGGAGACTTGAAGAGACAAACAAATTACCTGCATCTGATGTATGAGTTGCGCGGCTTCCATCTCCGTCAAGTTCTCCACCGCCATCAGGCGTTTCTGCAACGCGATCAACGCTTGATCCTCGCTGCTCCGGAGACTTGAAGAGACAAACAAATGAAAAATACAACAAATTCAATCGCAATCCAGGTTTTGCAAATTTTCAGCGCAATTTCAATTTACCTGTCCGGACTCATTCGGTGAAATCTGCCCCCCTCCCCCAGCTCCCCGTTTTTTTCATGCGAACCATTCTTACCCTCTCCATCCGTCAAGCAGTCATCGGACAACATTCCATTCTGAATGACCAAGAAAGAGAGAAAAAAAAAAAGAATCAGCACACAGAGTTACAAAATACTGTAATACAGTCCAGAAGCCAGAAGTCGAACTTCAAAGGACCCGCAAAAAAAATCGAGCAAGAAAGGGTTTCGTCTTGAGGATACAAGCATTTTTGTCGGGGGAAAGAAAGGAAGAAGAATTACAGTAGGTTGTAACTGGTGATCTTCTAGGCCTTCAATCGCTTTCTAAATGATTTGACTGGATGCAGAATTTCGATACAAAGGTGCCTTCACGCGATTATTGCTTTCGATTTCTTTCAAAACACTTAAAGTTACATTTTTATCTTCTTCATCAATAAAATACCGTGTTTACTCGTGTACCACTCGCCCTCGAGTAAAAGGAGCACACTACTTTCATTGACTTTCACTACTTTCATTGATATGTTAAAGTAACATATTTAAAAAAAGTAAGAACACCCAAAAAACTGAATTTGAACACGAATTGTTGCTGAATTCAACGATTTTTCAATCATCTCCATCAAGGAAAATTTGCTTTCCCTTTGAAAAGATTTCCCAATTGAATTGGTGCAACATTCACAATTGAAGTCGAATACTGTATAATGCAAACATACATTTGTGTACTTTTTGCTCGTAATTTTTACCCATAAATGACGCGCACCTCGTTCTATCTAATTACGGGCAAAACCAAAATACGGGCAAAAGCCAAAAGGCTTCCAGAAAATTCCATTCACAGAGGTTTTGAGGTCGAACCTGACGCTTGGAATCGGACCGAGGTTCTTTGGTCAAACTGAACCCGTGGCCCAAAGGCCCGAGCCCAGGCGGCAACCCGATCGTGCCCAGTCCAGACGTGATGACTTTGCCCAGACGCCGGCCGCCGTTTTCCACACTGCCGTCGTGTCCGTCCGCCGACGATACATGATGGTGTCCACCACCACCGCCGACATCGTCGTCCTCGTCCGAATCACCCTTGATAACGGAATCCAACGAAGCCTGTCCTTGTGCCAGAGCAGCAGCCAGGGCTTCGCTGTCCTTGGAGCTGAGCAGCTGGGACAGACGATCCATGTCGCCAGCTTGGATGGCAGCCACGATCTCCGGCGTCCCCTTGATGCCCAGGGCCCGACTCAGGGCCAACAACGAGGCCACTGTGTTCTTCTTGGGCCTCGACAACCCACGGCCCAAGTTTCGTGGTCGATTCGTCTTCGGCTGCGGGAAAAGGAATCGCTTTAATGCAGACGACGTACGAATTTCGTGACGCATGCAAGGACAAAATTTGAAAAAATGAAGGATTTCGTTACGTCGAAGATTATCATGCCTAAAACCTCCGATGATCCACCACCCAACAAAAGAACGAGGAATTAAAAATAGAACCTATTGCAGTAATCGAGTATGTCGACGTTTAGATTGACTGAAAACTTATCCTACAATCACAGAAACACGAAAAGAACGAAACAAGAATAAATCTAGCTACAGAAAAAAACCCTCGAAACATCGCTCATCATGAAAGACGCACAAACTCTTTGCCAAATATAAGAGGGTACGGTTAAATACGGTTAAAAAAAAAAAAAGTCACCTTCGACAGAAAACTTCATTATATGAATGAAGACAAATCAATGATAACCCGGGCATCATCAGATTCGGAATAAGAAAGTCGCGAGCGCAGGAGACAAACAAGAAGGCAACACAAATTCAAAAGTCCAACTATCTCACCAACTCACAAGGCTTTGCGCATTAGACACAAGCACAACCGCAGATCGTAGGGAAAGGAAAGCATTAGTAACATTTCCTTCTTTTCTTTTTTATGCGATAGCCAAGATGGTGTTGACGACAACGAAAAAAAACGGAATCCAGAGAAAACAACGCCAAGCGTGAAACAGAAAATACTCACAATGGTGTTCTTCCTCCTCGCAGCCCCGACTTCCTCCGTCATGGAGCGACGCTGTTGTTGTTGATGCTGTTGCTGCTGCTGATGTTGTTGCAACTGCTGCATTTGCAGCTGTTGCAAATGCAGCTGCGCCTCCAACTCCATCTGCAGGTCTCGCTTCTGATTGTGCCCACCTGCAGCTGCTGCAGCAGCAGCCGCCGCCGCCATCTGCAGACTGTCCAGCAGGGCGGTCGTCGACGAGGAAGTGGTGGTCGTCGTCGTCGTGGTCCCTCCTCCTCCTCTTCCCATCCCCGACGTCGGCAGGGACGCCGAGGCAGCAGACGAGGACTGGTGCGCTGGTCGAGGCGGGCCCTTGAGCTCGGGCATCTGGTCCGACGGCAGCTTGCTTCTCGCCTTGGACGTCGTCAGCGGCATGCGACGACGACGCACCACCACCACCGCCGCCACTCGACGCCGGCTTCAGCGACAGGTTCAGCGGCGTCTCGTCCACGTCGAGCGGCGTCGAAGCGGTTGCCTTGATGAGGCCCGAGTCCGTCACCATCTTCCGCTCGCCGTCGGCGCCTCGCTTCGATCCACGCACGCTCAGGTCTTGCACGGATTCCCCGCCCGCTCCTGGGGGAATAACGCTGATCG